TCTACTGCGAATAAAGCGATTCTAAAGGAAGTTTTTTCGTTGAATCACGTTTAAACATTCATTAGTAATCCATGACTAGCGCGCTTTTCTTGGTATTTTGTATGTTTTAAATGGGAAACACTGAAGATATAATGACGTAAATGTAGTAATAAAAGCATAATACGCGTTGTCTGGATCGGTTTCCTGATAAACATGATCCCAGTTAATATCTTCGAGACTGGTTCTGAAAAGTTGAAGCGTACTATTGTTTATGCTTTGATCTGTTTCATAGCAAGGTTTGTGTCATGATAAATCGGTGTTACAGTTAGCAAAAAGAATAGTTGGCAAATGATCACTTATTTGAGTAGATATTACTCCTGGCAGAAGGGATGAGATATGCATGTTTGTAATGGGGGAATGCCCAGGCAGCACACCAATGTTGGACCTACATTGGGCCAACAATGGCAAACGCTGGCTCCGGAGGTTGGTCCAACATTGGTATTCTGGCCGAGCGCAACTTCTTCCAATGTTGGCCCAGCCATTGGCACCAACGTTGGGCCATCGTTCAACCAATGTTCCAGCCATCATTGGCACCAACGTTGGGCCATCGTTCAACCAACCTTCCAGCCGTCATTGGCGCCAACGTTGGGCCATCGTTCAACCAATGATCCAGCCATCATTGGCACCTTTTTTAGGCCATCGTTAAACCAATATTTCAGCCATCGTTGGCATCCACACTATATCATTGGCTACGCCAATTTTGGCTTTCACACTAATTCAATGGCTATGCCATCATTGGTATACAAGTTCAATCATTGAATAGGCCATTATCGGCAGTCAAGCTGATTCATTGGCATGTCCCAGTGTTAATGCCATATCTTTAATGCTGGCCATGCAATGATGGCTGTGTTTAAATCCTGGTTATTCCAACATTGGGTTTTAAGAACCCCTTTCCTGTTTCTTATTTGCAGCCCACTGCACGAAAAACATTCTGGGCACAAATGACAAGGTCCTCCTATGCTTTGTCTGTGCACTATTTTATCTGGCGAGCAAATGACTATTTCAAGATCAATTAATACTTTTTTCGGAACTTTTATTGAAAGGGGCTAGGGAGGAAGCTCAGCGGGGAGCCTATGCCTGGTCCTGGGGAAGGTCCTGGAGCGAGTCCTGGGGCTGGGGAGCCATTACGGCTTCCTAACGCCTCTTCCTGCAGCCTCCCCTGTCGCAAGACCCTGGCAGCCACTTCAGCACCATTTTTAAGCTGCCGATTCTTCAATTGTTAGCTTCGCACTGATGGCATCTACGAAAAGATCCAAAGGGCAAAGATCAACGCTTTCAAACCCACATTGGTGTTAGTAAAGCACACTCCCAAGCAGCACTTCAACAAATGCTAAGGTATGAGTGTCCCCTAAAAAGTCCCTCGCTCACGACTTTTCAGTCTTTGCGGCGTAGCACCCGTGGTAGCCGATGATCAGGGGTCTACGACGTCAGGGCCGAGGTCCGGACGTAGTGACGAGGCAGTTGACCGATGGCCGAAGGCTTGAATCAGGCCCCGCACGCCGGTGGCAGCCTATGACCAGGTGTCCGCCAAGGTCGGGGCCGAAGGACGTAGCGACGAGGCAGTTGGGCGTTGGCCGAAGGCTTGAGTCAGGCTCAGAACGTCTGTGGCACGGAGTGGCAGCGGGTGTTCAACTGCGCCACGCATGCAGTCTTGTCTACCTCCGGAAGGTTGGCGCCCGGACTGCGTGAGAAGTGGGTTGTGGGTCGGGCCTCTTGACGTCTCGTGGTCACGCCGACGGAGGTCCGGCCTGGTCGCGTGTGCACCGTCCTTTGTCAACCGCCCGAATCCCCTCTCGCGCTCCTCGCAGGCCCCCACCTCGTGTTCTTCTTTCTCGTCCTCTTCGGCTGGTCGCGGGATTGCTCATCACACCAGACTAATCCAATCAATTGGCCACGTGCGCGACCGAAAGCGTCGCTGTGGTCGGCCTTTCACGATTGGCCCAAAAGCTGACTATGACGTCGGAAAGGGTATACTATCGACGCAAATAAGAAGAATGAAGGAACTTTAATTTCGACGGTGTTGGCAGTGTTCCTTTGAGAGCGCAATGATTTCAGGCTTCCACCATGCTATTTACAAACACCATCGAACTTGTTGTTCGCAAGGTAATGACGTCACAAGGGGGAACCATAGGAGGGCGCCACCAAAACATCTCGCCGCTAATTACCAACGTTGGTAGGCCACTGGCTAAGAGAGGCAATTGGTGGCCAGCTTAAACCAATCGATTGCCAACTTTAATAACCCGTTGGCTCTATTACAGCTTATATTTCTGAGGGCGTTGTCACTACCGTTGTCAGTACTGCAGTTGCCGTATTTTGTACGCACTTTGAAGTCATTTTTGGGCAAGCAGGCATAATGCTCTGCTTCTTCTGTTATAGACCTTTCCAATGTTTACAAATCCACAGCTCAGCGTGCGATCTCCACAGCTCAGCGCGCGCGTGTGCGTCGCTTCGGAAAGCGAGCAAATCACGCGCGATACGCACCAACACTGAAAATTAAACCGGCCAGCAGCCCTTTTCTGGAAAGGTCTATATGTTGCGTGATAACCTTTCTTTGCAGATTGAAATGCGCATCAGGTTTATGTCACCTCCTACCTCAAACATAGGGTGTTCGAGATGTTAATTCAACGCAATTTTTTATTCGTGAAGACATGTAATTGCTTAATCAGTCGCTGGATATTTGTTTAAGGTTTTATTGTTTTGCTAAAATTAAAAATTATTAGTGCTTTTTATTTATTTTTTTTAATTTTGTCCGGTTCAGTCTGAATTATAGGCCGCGTTTTGCGGCTCAGCAAAGCGGGTTGCCTTGAGATTTTCAAGATCACATACAGCTGACAATACACCCGTGTCCTAGGTTGGGATGGCGGGTGGAAATTTCGGGGTTAAACCCTGCCTCTCCCCCCCCCCCCCCTCTTTGGAAAGGTTTCCCGGCTGCGTCGCTAAATGGGCATAAGAGAGGAGGCACTATGGATTTTGCCGTATAAACATAAACACAAATCGAAGGAAGCGTGCATTTTATATTTTGTGTGGAATTTACTAAGCATAACTATCAGTTTTGGGAAAACGCGTGTTAGTTATAGTCGGTGACAGGTAATAGAAGCTCCTCCCATCTCTTTCCATATTTGTAGATCGAAAGATCAGGAGGAGTCGACCTCCTCCCCAGCGTTTATTTTTAACCTGTCACCAAACACGGTTTCTTTCTGCGTGGACGTTCAAACTTGCTATAGCTCTCAATGCATACAGCGTTCTAATTCAGTTGCTAACTTGCTCTGCGTGTGAAAACAGAAGAATCGTTCCCCCCGGAGGCATAGCTAGAGATTGTTCTCAGCGTGCGCGATCAGCACATTAAAAGAACTAAGCCAATTATATATAACATTGGTAAGCCACTGGCGAAGACAGGCCAATGTTGCCCAGCCTAAGTCAATCGATTACCAATGCCGGTAATTGATTTGCTTAAGCTGGCCAACATTGGCCTGTCTTAGCCAATCGATTACCAATGATGGCAATTCATTGGCTAACATAGACCAATGTTGGCCAGCCAAAGCCAATTGATTACCAATGTTCGTAACCAATTGGCTAAGACAGGCCAATGTTGGCCAACCTAAGCCAATCAATATCCAACATTGCTAAGCCGTTGGCTGAAGTTGGCCAGTTTAAACCAATCGATTGCCAACGTTGGTAAGCCACTGGCTGAGGTAGGCCAATGTTGGCCAGCCTAAGCCAATCGATTACCAACGTTGGTGAGCCGTTGGTCAAGTCAGGCCAACGTTGGCCAGTATATTCCAGTGTACCACCAATATTGGTTCTATGATGGCCACATTGGCTCAATATTGGACCATTGTTTGCCGATTAAATACCAATGTTGGCCCGACGTCGTGTGCTGTCTGGGTGCATGAATTGACGTTGATGTCCTCTGTATGCGCTTGCTTATTTTATGACGTTTGCAAAACCATTGCATTCTACTTTTCTATTTATTTCACACTACGCTAGAGACGGGGATAAAAAGTCAATGTTTAGGTCGCCTCCAAGGATTAAATTAAGCTTGTTTTGTTAATCCAAAATAAATATTTATCAAGAAAAGATAAAAACCTAGAGGCGTTTCCGTTGAGAAGGCGATAGAAAACTGACAACACATTTTGACCCCAATTCAAGGATTATATTTCTCAATCACTATCGACTCTTGAAAAAGCGGGGACAGCAGGACATTCAAAAGACTTTTTGATAGCTATCATAACCCCTCCTCTTTTATCTTGGCGATTTTGAAAGCAAGTGTTATGGTGCGGCAGTTCAATTACCTTGCTATCATTTTGGTGCCACGTTTTAGTTATCAAAATGATGTCGAAAGTGAAATCTAGCATGCTAAGGAAGGCTGCTATGTCATCGTCTTTATTTAGCAGGGGTTGAGTGTTTAGGTGAAAAGAGGAAGTGTGCTTCTTGTTTCTGGCAAACAAAGCGCTCACGTGAGCGGGCGTCAAAAAGGAAGATTGCATGGCAATTGTGAAATGAGGTTACACCTGGTACAGTTCGGGTCTCAGGTTATTTTATCTAAGTCACCCCCGCAAGCCACCCGAACCACCTGCGAAGTCTCGTCCTTCCTAGCAAAGATGCGGCCGTTTTTTGCCCACACAAATTTCCATACATAAATTTTCCTTTCTTCTTGCCACTGCCATTCCCAGTAGTTGTTTGAGAGTAGGGCATGTTAATTATTGAAAACGAGGAGGAGGAATATGCGCGCAACAAAGGACCGAAGACGAGAAAGTGCGAAAAAAAGAAGCGCGAACACAGAGAACATCGAGACGATCGAGGCAGCGGTGAGCGTTGTACATATCCTGCTAAGTAAACGCGTTTTTCCAATTTACACCGTGGACGTCGTTCCTCTAACTTCAAGAAATATTGGTGCCGAAACCCGGGACTCTGCTACCTTACTGACCCAACCGAGAGAAAACATCGTCAACATTAACGACATGGAACGCGTGAAAAGCAAACGAACCACCCAGCGGGCTCTGCATACACGTCTACGAACCGAAGCAAGACAACTCATCGACTCCAACCAGCTCAGCCTTTCTGCTCTACGGGTTTTGCACGATAGACTGAAGACTTGCAATGACGGCCTGCAGAAGCTCAACGAGCAACTAGAGGCCTTCCTCACGGACGAACAGACTGCAGAGGATTTCGCTTCAGTAAGCGAATACGAGGACAACGCAGCTGCAAGCTTGGCGCTGCTCGGCCATCACATTGAATCGCTCCAAGCTCCAGGCCCACCGGCTCGAGGAATCGATCAACAAAACGAAGACTTACCACTTGCTCCGAGCGCACAACAGAATGATCACGGCGATTACGGAGGGCCAGGGCGGGTAGGTGCAAGACTTCCCAAACTAGAGCTTCCTCGTTTTGACGGAACCGTATCCCAATGGCAGCCCTTTTGGGATATGTTTTGCCATACTGTTCACGAAAACAACCATTTGACCAACATTGATCGGTACCACTACCTGAAGACTCTGCTGAGTGGGCCCGCAGCGAAAGCCATTGCAGGAATCCAGGTGAGCGAGGCATCCTACTGCGTCGCAATCGAAATATTGAAAAACCGATTTGGAAGCGTAAAAATTATCCAGCAAACGTACCTTGCCAACCTAAGAACGCTGAAGCCAGTCAAGTCATCTGGTGACGTGACTGAACTGAGGGAACTCCTGGACAGCGTACAGATTAACGTGCGAGGCCTAAAAGCGCTGGGTCTGCCGGAGCTGTCGTACGCAGCAATGTTATTAGAGGTTCTCACCAAAGCAATCCCAAGTGACATCGTTGTTGACTATTATAAACGACAGAGTTTCCAAGAGAACACAAGAGAAAATCAGTCGTCAGAAGCAGAGCTTGAACAACTCTTATGCTATCTGCGTATAGAAGTGGAAGCCCGCGAGAAAACTGGGCTCGTCGCACTCACAAAACGAAGGCTGCCTGACGACACACGAAGCTCATACAGCAGCCATCTGCCTTCAGCGGCGGTTCTTCATAGTGACGCGGTTAAACAGCAAAGTGACTGTTTTTTTTGCCTTTCGCCAACGCACAACACCGAGAACTGTTCTTCTGAAATCAATCTGCAGGAGAAGAAAAGCCGGCTAGCAAAGGCAAGTAGATGCTTTAAGTGTACTGCTATTGGACATCGGGCGAGAGACTGCCGCCGAAACGTACGCTGCTCAGAATGCAGGGGCAGGCACGCTACTGTTGTTTGCGATCCGATGTACAAAGCAAAGAAAGGCTCACGCGAAAAAGAGAGCGCCATCATGCACGCGGCAACCAAGGATGCATCCGCGACCTTAGTGGATAAACAGGTGCTCTTACAGACATTTAGAGCCTGGTTGTTGAACGAAAGCCAGTCGTGCTACATCAGAGGAGTCTTCGACAACGGGAGTCAGAGAACTTTCATAAGAGAAGACGTGTCGAGGAAATTGGGATTACGCAAGGAAAAAACAGTTGACTTGTCGATCAAAGCTTTTGGAGGATCTAACGGAGCACCACGAAGGAAATACAACTTAGTACAGGTCGCCGTGATGAGCCAGTTCAGCCATTTTCAACACGAAATCGAAGCAATTGAAGTTCTATTTATCTGCGAGGAATTAATTGAAGCTCCCGCTGCACACTCTTTTGTCCATGGGCTGAACAAGGAAGGACGGTATATTGCTGACTTTCTGTTATTCCCTGGACTCAAAGGAGAAGCTGGTATCAGCTTACTTGTGGGAGCAGACCAGATATGGAAATTCCTCCTGAACGAAGTCTGTTTGCATGGCGAGGACAAGTGCCTGGCGGCTATAAACACGAAGCTCGGTTGGACCTTCCAAGGACCCGTGACATCTGGCGGCGGTGTTTTCACAGAAGCTGGAACACACATCTGTGTCCTCCAAACAAACGGCGTCGAATCGGAAGTTTCCGACACGCTCCAGCAATTCTGGGAGCTCGAAAGCATTGGAATACTTGACGCTTCAACGAACTGCAGCCACCACAGCGAAGTTCTCCAACAATTCAGCAAGGATATTGCGTTTAAATACGGAAGGTATGAAGTAGCTCTTCCTTGGAAGAACCTTAACGTGGACCTGTCAGACAACCATACGGTTGCAGTCAAGCGGCTACACAGCTTGGTTCGACGGCCCATCACAGATACAGAGATGATCCAGCAGTATGACGCAGCTGTCCGGCAATACGAAGTGGATGGACATGCAGAGAAGATAACTTACGGCCAAAGCATACCTGACAAGTGTTACTACATGCCTCATAAGCCTGTGGTACGAGAATCATCAACAACGACAAGACTGCGAGTCGTCTTTGACGCCTCATCCCATGCACTTGGGGTAGCTTCACTGAATCATCATCTGGAGAAAGGGCCGAATTTGAACAAAGACATGGTGAAGACGCCCGTGAACTTCAGGCTGCAGAAGATAGGTCTCACAGCAGATATTCAAAAGGCTTTTCTTCAGATATCTATTAGAGGAACCGACAGAGACGCTCTACGATTCCTGTGGTTTGAGCAGATGCCAAAGACAGGCCATCCCCTGCCTAAAGTGGAAGAGTATCGAATGACTCCCGTACCTTTTGGAACGACGGCAAGTCGATTTCTACTGACTGCCACATTACAGCATCATTTCAAGCGTATGGAAGTAGCTTTTCAAAACACAACTAGGCTGTTCTGCGAGAACTTTTATGTGGACGATCTAGTCACGGGAGTTTCGACTTCAAACGAGGCATTTCGTGTCTACAGAGAAGCTAAAGTCATCCTTGAGGAAGCTGGCCTGACGCTTCAGAAATGGACCACAAACGACGAGGCGCTTCAACGACACATTGGAAAGGAAGTTGCACCGTCTTCGGCTTCGGCAGCTAGAAAGGTCCTCGGTCTTTTATGGAATACCGACACCGACGAGCTTCACCTTAATGTCGAAACAGTGCTGCAGTTCCTCGGAGACAAAGACAACACTAAGCGTTTTGTTCTTCAGACGACAGCGCGACTGTTTGACCCTTTGGGTGGTTGTCTCCGTTTCTCATCAGGATTAAAATCCTTTTCCAGAGGATTTGGGAACACGGCACCGACTGGGAAGAAGACATGCCTAGAGCATTACAGAAAGAATGGGACGAATGGTCTGAAGAATTCAGGGCGTTACAGACATTTTCGATTCCCAGATGTGGGTTGAAGAACTTTTTAGATAACTCTACACGCCACCAACTTCACGTGTTTGCAGACGCCAGTTCGAGTGCCTATGGTGCAGTGGCCTACCTCAGGATCCAGGATACAACCGGAAATGTGAGCGTCCAACACTTGCTCTCAAAGTGTCGGGTAGCTCCTATCAAACGTATCACCCTTCCTCGCTTGGAACTAGTTGCGGCACTTCTGGCCGCTCGTTTAATGAAGTTCCTGAAAGAGACGCTGGCAAACAAGCATTGTAACATGATTTACCACTTGTGGACCGACTCAACTGTCCCTCTATGTTGGATCCGAAGTCCTGCAGCCAAGTGGAAACAGTTTGTTTCTAACAGAGTGACAGAAATACAGACAGCAACGGATCCGTCTCACTGGAGCCATTGCCCTGGAAATGAGAATCCAGCGGATCTCTTGACTCGAGGAGTTTCTGCAAAGGAACTTTTAACAAACAACCTCTGGTGGAGAGGACCTGAATGGCTATCAAGAGCACAGGAATGCTGGCCTGGGATAACTGCTGCCGTCGAGCCTACAGACGTGGATGATGATACGATATTGGAATTGAAACGTGATGTTCCAGTTCTCGTCAGCGTGGCAAATGAGCCGATATTTAGCCCCGACAAGTACAGCACTTGGACCAAGATGACAAGGGTGACAGCTTGGATAAAGCGTTTCGCAAACAACTGCCGTTCACCGACGGCGCGTCGTGAAGGTACACTTACGGCCCAGGAACTTTGAGCAGCCGAGAACGTATGGTTACGTCAAGTACAGCGAGAAGCATTTGCAGATGAAATGCCACAACTAATGAAAGGAGAAAACCTAGAAAATACTTCGCCAATACGAGACCTCCATCCCTTTATTGACGACGAAGGACTCGTCCGAATTAGGAGCCGCCTTCAAAACGCGATGTTGTCCTACAACGAGAAAAGCCCCGTACTACTTCCTGGTGAACACTCTGTGACTAGATTGATTGTTCTACATGCTCACAAAGCGGTGCTCCACGGAGGAGTCGGTGACACCTTAACTGAACTGCGTGCTAGGTTTTGGGTCACCCGTGCACGACAGGCTGTTAAACGGGTTTCCGGAAAGTGTCTACTTTGTGCCCGGTGCCGCCTTAAAGCGGCAAGTGCGCCGATGGCTCCCCTTCCAAGTGACCGAGTCCTAAGCTCTCGTCCCTTTGAAGTTACGGGAGTAGACTTTGCCGGACCTATTTTTGTGAAAAACTGTAGCGTAGTGAAAGCGTACTTTGTGCCATTCACTTGTGCTGTGGTTAGATCCATTCATCTTGAGCTTGTTGTAGACCTTACGGCAGACTCTTTTCTTATGGCTTTTAGAAGATTCTGTGCCAGGCGTGGCACCCCGCGAGTCGTGTACTCGGATAACGCTGCAACTTTTAAAAGGGCGTCAAGAGAACTAGCTGCAATGCACCAGTTGCTGAGAGAAGATGAAGTGAAAAACTACTATGCTAGTCATCATGTAACGTGGAGATTTGTCGCAGAAAGAGCGCCATGGTGGGGCGGTTTCTGGGAAAGGCTCATTGGAATTGTGAAGACGTGCCTTCGCAAATTATTGGGAAAGGGGTCTTTCGATCTGCAACAGCTGGGCACCTTACTGTCTGAAACCGAAGCGGTTGTGAATTCACGACCGATCACTTTCATTTACTCCAGTTCCAATGAGCCAGACGTATTGACTCCGTCTCATTTTTTGTTAGGTTGTCGTATTCTATCTCCAACAGATGCTTCAGATGAGTCAAAGGCTCAGCTAGAAACACTTAATCTTTGGATTCACCGACAGCGTGTGATGGAGCACATGTGGAAACGATGGCAGCATGAATACCTACTTGTGCTCCGCAGTTTTCACTCCCGAAAAGTGCAGCGTACTCATAACGTAAAAATAAGTGATGTAGTAATAATTCATGATGATAGTGTACAAAAACTGTTCTGGAAGACTGGGGTCATTACGGGACGCATTCAAGGCAAAGACGGTGTAGTGCGGGCATGTAAGGTAAAGCTGCCAAAAGGGAGTGAAATCATCAGGCCTGTACAGCGTTTGTACCCCCTTGAAATTCCCACCTCGGGCCCGGAGTGTGTTAAATATTGAAAACGAGGAGGAGGAATATGCGCGCAACAAAGGACCGAAGACGAGAAAGTGCGAAAAAAAGAAGCGCGAGGACAGAGAACATCGACACGATCGAGGCAGCGGTGAGCGTTGTACATATCCTGCTAAGTAAACGCGTTTTTCCAATTTACACCGTGGACGTCGTTCCTCTAACTTCGAGAAATAGGGCACACGTTTTCGGTTATGTAGATGGGGACATTTTCTTAGTGCCCCACATGTCTAGCGGTGACCTTTGTCTTTCTGACTTTCGCAAGCACAGCATCACGTTTTGTGGGATTGTGAAATTGGACGGCCACTGTCGGACATGTCAGGTTTCTTGTGGGAACACGGTGGCAGAATTCAACATCCTCTTAAGTGATAGGCTCATTAATTATCTCGCCTATTTTTGTAGCATGTAAGGAAGATGCTCATTCTGCTCTACTGGAAGTCCCTTAATGTCAATGTTTTTGTTCCGGGAGTACTGCTCAAGATCAGTTAAACGCTGCTATATGTCAGACAGTAGTTTTTTCAGCGAAAAAAAAAACTGGGAGGACAGTGTAGCATTCTCAGCTTTCAGCGTCTTGTTTTCTTCTTTCAACGTTGTGCACTCGGTAGTCATATCATCGTACTGCTCGCTGCAGAACTTAATGCCTGACTGTAATTCTCGGTTTTCTTTCTGGAAATCCCGCTCTAGTGAGCTGCACATGGCTGCAATGTCCTTCCGAAATTATTTCCTTAACTCATCGGCCATCTTTTCAACCTCAGTAGGCATGACCAGGACACAATTGGCACAATTGGCACCGACAGCAGCAAACACTGAAGAATGTTTTAACAAAACTGTTACGACGTGGCAGAGCCCGTCGCGAGTAAGACAGACGTCCGGTGGTGGCTGAACGACTCCGAGATTTATCGGTGCTCTGAAGACAAAAACGAGGATTGGACGCCACGTGCCAAAGCGAAAAACCACACGATCAAAAGAAAAAGAAAATATACACACGTGCTTTGGCACGTGATGAACATGATTACAAAATACACAAGCAAAACTTTCGTAGAAAACAATAACATGGGGCTGCGTTTTCTACAATTCTCTCTTCTTTAGAAGTGAAACCTGTCGACGGGCTTTCGGGTCCTGCTGGAACGCCGTAACGTCGCTTCTTCTTGGAGTTCCACTGGGATTGCCGTCGGCGCGTCTGGATGGTGGCTTTCATCGTTTGTGATCGCCGAAGATGATGATGATGTCGAAGGCCGCGTACCTGCCTGCTGGTCTACCAGGTGATCCTCTTCCGGTATCCTCCTCCGTACTTGGTCAGCGTGGCGATGTACCACCTTTGATGGCGTTGAGACAGTCAGCATTCGCGACCCGGAGGTGGACTTGACTTGACCAGGCGTCCAGTTGTCTCCATCCCCGTAGTTACGGAAATGCACAGGATCCCCTGGAGCCAAATTCCATCCAGGGTCATCATTCGTAGCGTCCCGTGCAACCGATGGAAAGCAGGTGTCGATCCTCGATCGAATTTGATAGCCCAGCAGGACTTCCGACGGGGATCTTCCGGAGGCTTGTGGCGTTCTTCTGTAATTGAACAGCATCCGAACAAGGTTAGTTTCCAAGTTCTCGCCTCGCATCTTCTTAATCCCGTCTTTGACGGTGCGCACGGCCCTTTCTGCCAGACCGTTGGATTGCGGGTGGAAGGGAGCGGTTCGAAGATGCGAAATGTTGTTCATCGTGACAAACGTCTTAAACTCCTGACCTGTGAACTCAGTTCCGTTATCTGACACCAACGTGCGCGGAATTCCAAAGCGACTGAACAACATACGTAACGTTGCTATCGTTGATTGAGTGGTCGCGCGGGACAATGGTACGGCTTCGATCCATTTGCTGTGTGAATCGACAACAATTAGTACCATTTCTCCCTTTATTGGCCCAGCGTAATCAATGTGTATTCTTGACCAATTTTCCTTGGTCCCGGGCCAATTAACTGGCTCTTTCGCACTTGGCATAGGCATAGCTGGAACACATTCCCTGCAAACTGCCGCCTGGCTTTCAATTGCTCTGTCAAGACCAGGCCACCAGAACTTTGACCGCGCGACCGCTTTCATTGAAGATGCTCCTTGGTGGGTTTCATGAAGCAGACTTAACAATCGTTCCCTCGCCTTTGCTGGAATCACGACCCGGTGACCCCAGTACACGAGGTCCTGTGCTACTGAGAGCTCGAGCTTCTTGTCATAGAATGGTTGTAATTCGAGTTCTAGGTGCTTTCGGCTCCTTAGCCATCCATCTAGGATGTGTCTTTTAACTTTTAGGAGCACGTCGTCACCGGCAGTCAGGTCTTTCAGTTCTCTGGTGGTTACGGTCCGTTCGTCAAAATTATGTAGTGCTAAAACATACTCCGGAAGCTCCATTGAGCTACATGATTCCTTAGACGTCGGTAGCGGTAACCGGCTTAAAGCGTCTGCGTTGAACATCAGTTTACCAGGCTGGTAGTCCAGCTTCTACTGGTAGCCCCCAAGCAGCAGTGCCCAACGCTGGATCCTTGCAGCAGCCATGGCAGGGGTCGGCCGGCCCGGCTTTAGCAATCCCAGGAGTGGCTGGTGGTCGCTGACCAAGGTAAACTCTCTGCCCAAAAGGTAATCGCGGAACTTGGTCACACCAAAAATGAGAGCGAGTGCCTCGCGTTCCAACTGGGAGTAATTTTTTTCCGCAGCCGTTAAGGTATGTGAGCGGGAACCGATCGGCCTGTCCTCCTTTCCTACACGGTGAAACAACACGGCCCCAACACCGCCTGGTGACGCGTCACACTCCAAGCGCAGTTCTTTCGCTGGGTCGAAATGGGTCAACACTTTTCCTGTTGTTAAAGCTTTCCTTGCTTTCATAAATGCCTCGTCCTGTGCCGGGCCCCACACCCAACGACAACCCTTCTCTAAAAGTTGATACAGCGGTGATAGCAGTGTAGACATTTGTGGTAGAAATCTGCTGTAGAAGGTCAACATGCCGATAAATGAGCGCAGTTCACTCACGTTTTTCGGACACGGAGCCCCAGCGATGGCCTCAAGGTTCTTTTCTGTTGGGTGCCGTCCCTCTCCGTCAATCTGAAGGCCAAGGTAAGTGACCGATTCCTGCCTGAATCTGCACTTTTCCTTGCGCAACTTCACCCCGTGCTCTCGGAATCGCTGCAAAAGACATTTCAGTTTTGTTCCATCGTTAGAGCTTTGTTCCGAAAGTATGACGTCATCTAAGTAGGCCTGCACATCTGGAAGACCTTGGAGGACACATTCTATCTTGCGTTGAAAGATAGCGGGCGCTGAGGCTATTCCAAATGGTAATCTGTTATAGCAAAAGAGGCCACGATGCGTGTTGATAACCGCAAGCTTCCGCGATTCCTCATCGAGAGGCACTTGGTTATACGCGTCCCGCAAGTCCAGTGTGCTGAAACGGTCACCGCCATTCAGACAAGCAAACATGTTCTCGATAACAGGGAGCGGGTACTGTTCTAACGCACAAACAGGATTCAGTGTCTCCTTAAAATCCCCACAAATACGTACGGACCCATCTTTTTTTTGAACCGGCACAATGGGCGTAGCCCATTCAGAGTAGGCAACTGGTGAAATAATGCGGGCCTGTTCGAGCCTATCCAACTCCAGGGATACTTTCTCTCGTAAGGCAAACGGAATAGACCTTGCCTTGCAAAACTTTGGAGTTGCTCCATCCTTGAGGTACAGATGCGCAGGTGGTCCCTGAATGACTCCAAGCTCTGGGGAGAAGAGGTCTTCGTACTCGTCCAGTAGACTCTGGAGACCTTGCTGCTGATCACAGGGAGATTTCGGGATTGCTGTCAGGCTCAAAACAGGTACGTCACGTTGATTCAATTTCTGAATCAAGTCTCGTCCGCACAAACATGGACCTCGGCAATCCACGACGGTCAATATACCCTGTACGGTAGTCGACTAGTATACAACTTTCATGGTTAACTCTCCGACAACTGGAATTGATCCCATGTAGCAACCCAACTTCACTTGAAGCTTTTGAAGTCTTGGCCAAGTTTTCCGATGCCTTTCGTACATTTCTCTCGTTATGACGCAGACAGGTGACCCCGTGTCAATTTCCATGACCAGATCAATTCCACCCCACGTGAACGTGCGTCGCACTGGCGGCACAAGCTTCCTTTCTTTTAGGGTTATCAGATTCCAAATCTGTGTGGTCAGGCTGTCGTCATCTTCGTCCAGGGACTCTACTGCTTGTAGTTGGTTGTTTTGTCCCTTGGCACTCTTAGGGTTACGACACTTGCGAGCCAAATGCCCTTGCTTGCCACACTGGAAACATTTTGCTTTCTGCCATTTACAGTTGCTACTGCTGTGATTGGCATTACCACAACGTTCGCAGCCTACTGGTGAATGCAGCGATGTCCTGGCAGCGGGAGGCATCCTCTGCTGACCCTTCAGTGTGTGTACTTCGGATGGCCCACTTTCCCGCGACATTTTTTGTGCGTCGGCTTCTGCAGTTTCTGCTGCCACGGCTAGCGCTTCGGCGTCCTGCAAGCTCAGCTCTCGTTCGGCCAGCAACTGTTTCTGCAGATTCTTTGATCTGACGCCGCAAACGATTCGGTCTCGTAACATCCTGTCTAATGTCGTCCCGAAGTTGCAGTTATTAGCAATTCTTCTTATTTCCACGATGAATGCGTGCACTGATTCTCCTTCCTCTTGGCATCGATGGAAGAACTTGAAACTCTCCGAAATCTCATTTGGTTTCGGGTCGTAGTAATCGCTCAGAGCACGGACCGCTTCGTCATACGTTAGCGAATTTGGCTTCCTGGGCGACACCCTTCCGCAAAGCACTTGTATCGTACTTGTTCCCAGCGCTGACACCAGCAGAGCCCTTTTCTTAGCATCATCCCATCCTCGTCGGCACTGTTACGACGTGGCAGAGCCCGTCGCAAGTAAGACAGGCGTCCGGTGGTGGCTGAACAACTCCGAGGTTTATCGGTGCTCTGAAGACAAAAACGAGGATCGAACGCCACGTGCCAAAGCGAAAAACCACAAGATCAAAAGAAAAAGAAAATATACACACGTGCTTTGGCACGTGATTAACATGGTTACAAAATACACAAGGAAAACTTTCGTAGAAAACAATAACATGGGGCTGCGTTTTCTACAAAAACAAAAGTGGTCAGACCTGTATGATGGCAAGAAACAGTGCTTAGTCGAACTGCTCCCGTTGCCGCTGACGCTGCCAAGTGACGAGATGTTGGTTGTGGGCCCTTAAGTAGGCGTTCTTCCCTGGCGGTAGTATCGCCTCGTGTCACACGGGGGCGGGGTGGTGCCGTTGATAGTTGCAGGAACCCAGTCACCGCTGCCGATGACAACGATGATGCGTAGATCTCAGGACAGCAGGGGGCGAGGGTCGATTTCTGTATGATGGCAAGAAACAGTGCTCAGTCGAACTGCTCCCGTTGCCGCTGATGCTGACAAGCTGATGCGCGTGAGGGCCATGGGTACGTGAGGGGC